ATTGGAGGATCATCTTGGACATCTTCGACGAGTGTTGGAGACGCTCCGCCGTGCCAAGTTCAAGGCCAACCGCGACAAGTGCGAATTTGTCCAGCAAGAGCTGGAATACTTGGGCCATTTTGTCACACCGGAAGGCATCAGTCCGCTATCGGACAAGATTCAGGCCGTCCAAGAGTGGCCGGAGCCTCGGAACGTCACGGATGTCCGCTCGTTCCTCGGTCTTACCGGCTACTATCAGCGCTTCATCAAAGGCTACTCCAAGATCGTGGCCCACTTGAACAAGCTTCAGTGCGAGGATCGGCCGTTTGACTTCGGAGAGGAGACGCGAGGATCATTCTTCGCTCTCAAAGCCGCGCTATTGTCTGCGGAGGTCTTGCGAATCTACGACCCGCTCGCGCCTACGCATGTCACTACGGATGCGTCAGGCTATGGCATTGGTGCAGTCCTCGAGCAACATGATGGTGTGGACTGGCACCCGGTCGAGTACTTCAGCAAGAAAGTGCCCCTCGTGCATTCCATTGACGATGCACGCAAGAAGGAGCTCCTCGCCTTCGTCCACGCACTCAAACGGTGGCGGCACTTCCTCCTTGGTCGAAGCCAATTTCGCTGGGTAACGGACAACAATCCGTTGTGTCTTCTACAAGACCCAAGACATCGTCAACAGCACCATCGCTCGATGGATGGCTTTCATCGACCAGTTCGACTTCTTTCCGGATCACATTCCCGGGAAGTCGAACCGTTTTGCGGATGCTCTTTCACGGCGTCCGGATCATTGTACCGCAGTCCACTCAACCTTCGAGATCGACGATGACCTGCGGAACAGCTTCATCCGCGGCTACCAAGCCAACCCCGAGTTTCGCGATAAGTATGCGAATTGCTCCTCTCCTAAGCCGGCGCCTTCTCACTACCGGATCCAAGAGGGGGTACTTGCTTGTCCACACGCGGGGGAAGGACCTCCTTTGCGTACCGAGTGATCCTCACTTGCGTACACGACTTCTTGGCGAGTTCCACGACGCTCCCGCCACTGGACATTTTGGAGTCAATCGCACGATTGGCTGACTTCGCCAGCGATTTTGGTGGCCCGGCCTTCTCGGCGACGTCACGCGCTATTGAGAGTCATGCGAGGTTTGCCGACGCTGCAAATCCCGCAACCATCGTCCGTACGGCGAGTTACGACCATTGCCAGTCCCGTTGCGGCGAAGGGAAGCGATTGCCATGGACATTACCGGCCCGTTCCCCAAGCACAAGACCGGCATGGATGGGATTCTCACGGTGGTCGACCGACTCACCAAGTTCGCCATGTTTCTGCCTTGTCGCTATCATGCCAAGGCACCGGAGTTGGCCGAGGTTCTTTACGCCGGTTGGATTCGAACCAAGGGTTACCCCAAGGAAATCGTCTGCGACCGCGACACTCGGTTCATGTCCGATTTTTGGTTGGCACTCATCAAGCGATGGGGCTCATCTCTCAAGCCCAGTTCAGCTCGCCACCCTCAGACCGATGGCCAGACGGAGAGGGCGCATCAGACCGCACAGGTTCTCCTTCGCACTCTCATCCGCCCCGACCAGAAGGACTGGGTTGAGCGGCTGCCGGATGTCGAGTTGGCCTACAACTCATCTATCCACCCGACTATCGGGATGTCGCCCTTTGAGTTTGAGCACGGCTCGCCGGTCACTTCACCGTGGGACACTATTACTCCACGAACGGCCGAGAGCGACGACCATCTTCTTTTCTTGCGTCGGATGCAAGAGCTTCTTGTCAAGGCACACGATCAGATGGCTAAGACGCAGCAGCGCATGAGCCAACAGGCCAATCGCCAGCGTCTTCCTTGCCCATTCCACGCAGGGGACCTTGTTTGGGTTTCCGCAGCGGAATTCAGCCTTGAACAAGACATCTCTCGCAAGCTCCTCCCGAAATGGATGGGGCCTTGGCCGATCGTAGCGCCCGCTGGGGACGCACCCGAAGGACCTTCCTTCACGATTCAGCTGCCTGGCCACTTGCCGGTCTACCCAGTCTTTCATTGCTCCAAGTTGGCTCTTTACACGCCAGCGGAACATGACGATTTTCCCGGGAGACGTACGCAAGACCCACCTTCTATGGACGGTTTTCAGGAGGTCGGCAACATCATCTCCCAGCGACGCTACGGCAACAAGCCAACTGAGTATTTGGTAAACTTTGCATACTGCACACACCGAGCTGACCGTTGGTTAACCCGTGCGGAACTTCAAGCAACAGCTCCAGACGTTCTCGCACGCTATGAACGCAAGATGCAAGGCAAGCCGGTTTCTTAGGTTCCACGCCGCGCCTGCGTCCAGGTTCCACCTTCAGATCGTCGGCTTCGCCCTCGCCCCGGCTTGACTTCATGAGGAGGGGGGGGTGTTACATGCTGCGCCTGCACACGCAGGCCATTTTCCAGGCTCTGCGCCCTTCAGCCAAAAAGCCTAGAATTCAGCCTGAAAACAGGGGCCTACAGTCCCTGTGTCGTTTCAAACTAAAAATGGCAAGACCCTTTTTAGCCTGAAACGAAGGGCTATTTTCGGTCGTTCACCAGAGTGACCGGCCCTGAAACTCAGGCACCAAACCAGGGTTTCGGGAACAGGCTATTCTTAGCCTGTATCCACGCCAGCCTCAGCAGATGCTGCAGTGCC